CAGCTATTTAACAATAGTAGGAGGCAGCCCAGAAATGTACACAGTACAGATCTGATTGAAACCAGATTATATGAAGGAGTTTCTTTGCTCCCATGTCTTGCACAAGTGTAAGTACTTTTATCAGAAGAAAAATATTGAATAAAAGGTACTTTTAAAAACTTAAGTCTTCATGAAAATTTGTTTTTAAGAACGACTTTCAACTCGCTGTAATTTATCTTATTTCTTTTAAGCAACTTCATACTCCATAGCACCTGAATGACAAATAGTTTTAGGTTCTTAATACAAAAGTAAACACTTTTTTGGGATGAAACTGTTTAGCGAGAACCATTCTTTTAAAAAGAGCTTTTCATTTTGAATAAGTTAAATTTACAGGTTCACGGGTTTTTTTTTTTTATCTTAAAAAGTGATCATTTTCCTTCTTTCCACAGGAAGAAGCTGCAGTGGATCACATACACGGTCATGCAAATCACAGTAAATTTTCTTTGAACAGAATACCCCATGGACATTGCAGAACACCCAATAGGCTACATTTACACAACTGATAATATATAGGTTTTTGTGAACTGGTGTTGTTGAACTGGTAAGACATTATTACAATAACTGCTAAAGAAAATGCAAGAAAGCATTTTTTTTAATCCAAGTAACTATTCTGAAATATCGGAGGGTTAAGTGACAAAACAAACTCACGGGTCAGTTTATGATTAGTGTTTCATAAGTCCGCAGCATTTTTGCAGAGTTTGGCGCATTTTTGCAAAAAAATAAAAATAAAAAAAATAACGTTAGTAATCTACGTAACAGTGTGTCTGTGTGCACTGTGTTGACCTGTGGGCTGTGCCTCTGAAGCTCCTCTGCAGCTGAAAGGAAACCATGCTCCTTCAAATGGCGGTAGATGAGCTGGTTCAGCTCCTGTTGTGATGCGATCACGGACATGATCAAAGCGAAAACGGACAAACAAACAGAAAGATACAAAATGAGGATTTTGTCGTTAAAACTAGCCACATGGTACACGGACTCGTTCAAACTGAAACCCGCATGTTGAACTCTGATGCAGGATGTATTTCCCGCTGCAGTGCATCATGGGAGATGTAGTTCATGGTGTCGGCGCTTCCTCCTTTCAGTTTCTATTATTTCACGGATTATTCAACCACATTTTTAAAGGAAACCAAATTGCTTTAAGTTTAGATCAGAATTAATGTGTTTTAAATTTATTTCAAATTCAGATAAAAACTGAATTATCTGAATAATTCAGAAAACTCTAACACAAGTTGTTATTTTTTTAATCAATTTTAAACAATCTTCAATCCGTGTTTATGAAGCACCAGAACACTGCTGTTTGGTCTGTGCCTGCATGGCTGTGTGTTTTACTGCTGGCCTTTGTCCTCTCCAGGGTGTATCCTGATTTTCGGCCAATGACTGCTCAAAACATAGTTCCCAGCCTCACCACGATTCTGCAAGGATAGCTGGTAGACAATGGAGGGATGCTCTTACATCTGAGGGAAAGTTTGGGACAGAGTGAGAAATTCAATAGAAGGGTACCACCACAGAACATCCAAATTATGGGCCTGGAGAAGGAGCCAGCTTGGTCAAACCCTAAACATTTACTATTCATAACTCCTTTGACTGCTGATCTGGGTCTCGTCAGCTTTCTCTCTTGGCTGAAAAAGTAATCAACTTTGGTTAAAAAAAAACATTGGTACTTTGATTCTGGAAAATTGTAAACATAAAAATCAATCTTTCTGAAAGAGAGCATTGCAGTAACAAGGCAAAAATAATTTCAAAAAGGTGCATCAGAGTTTATAAAAGAATTGTATCAACATATTTATGATGTGTGTGTTGTCTGCACATTTGAAGTCAGAGGAGTTTGTTGCCACATCCAGTTAGCTGGCTAATAGGAAAACAAAAAAATAATTTACTTTTCATAACCAATTACTCACTTTTCAGAGGAGAGTACATTGCAAAATTAACAATAAAAACATTTTGAAGCTAATGTCAAGCTCTCAGGGGAGACTGAGGTCAAGTCCACAGACTGATTAATGCCACCTGGAGTAGTTTTCAAGTCTTGGAAAAAAAAGAGAAAAGTGAAGCACATGCATGAGTTTGTTCAAGAACAGATTACAATATCATCTCACAAGCTAAAAATAAGCTTACTCTTATTATTCTATAGGTACATTTTCAGCTTTGCTCACCTTTTCTGCTCTTGCTAAAAAGAAAAACAATCTCCTACTCCTGAGCCAGACAATCAACAAACCACCCAATCAAACAATCCAATCAGAGAGCTGCCGGGAAAGCTGGTCTCCTCTCTCTCAGGTGTGTTTGGATAAACATCTGACCCCTACTTCTCTGATTAGTTTGGGGAGAAAATAAAGCCAGCTGGAAGGAGAACATGCCAGGCTGGGAGAGGTGGTTGTGAGACCTGAGGTCAAATTAAAGGGGAGAACACAGAAAGCTGCAAACTGAAAGAGCCCCATTCATCAGAAATGCAGGAAAGGCAAACAGACTGGATTCCAAATTCAATGTCGGTGCTCATTGGGTCTCACCAAGATTGATTTCAACACCTTCCCCAAACCTTTTTTTTTTTTTTTTTACCTCACTATCGAATACAATTATAATCAGCTCAGCCAGACAAAATGGATGAATTGGTTCCTATTTTTAGTGTCAAAAGTTTAGACTGAGGAACAACTATTTATACAATTTGCTGTGTCACGTTTTTATAGCTCAATTTTATTCAAGCGTCGATGCAAAACAGGTAGTAAGTCTAATGAAGCAGAAACGACAAAAAAGAAATTGAAATTTCCCCTTTGCTTTAACAGCAAGAGGTCCCAAAACAAGAGATACATTTATACAGGTTAGCCCAGGACATAAATCTGCATTCCAGGTGTTTAGCATCGCTCATCTGTGGTCTCTTTGCAGGTAATTAGCTGCTACTTCCACCAGTGAAATCTGCTTACCGCAGCCTGCCGTTCCTGCCAGCTGAGTAAATTTAGAAAACAGGTTTAAGTAAAACACTTGCACGGATGTGTGAACACCCGAACACACAAACTCATGCACAGTTTGATTTCACTGTGGGATCCTTGCAATATTTAATCCAGACGACTGGAAAGAAGGTCGTAATGAAGTATTGCCGCTGGCCTCGCTGGCCAGGTGCTGCTTCAGCTCCATGAGAGCCAAGTTAAACATATGCCTGGAGAGCTCGAGGGTCTGGATCTGAGAGGGCATCACCGCTGAGCTCCAACCCGGAAGCAGCTGATGAGTGGATGTTGAAATTCCTAGAAAGGGTAAACTCATTATGATCTTTCAACTCTGATTATAAGATAAGCATGAGTGTTTGTTTCTGAACCACTAATTTTCTGGCATTAAAGGATGTCTTTATATAGTAAATCACACACTATTATCTCATAGCCATGCAAACTTTACAAGGCTTTTCACTAATTAAACTCCAAGAATACATTATATTATTTTGTGTACTTTATCCAGATGTTAGGGGGGATACACTATTCTCAGCTACAGAGACAATTGGCACTTGCCAGAAAGTCCAACATCTAGTTCACTGTGCTGTCAGGATGCTAGAAGCCTCCATGACCAGTTTTCATCTGGACTTGTCATTGGTTTTTAAGAAATGTACATTTTTCTCATTTCAATTTATCCTTTTTTTTTTTTTTTTTTTCAGTTTTTTTTCATGACTGCCTTTTGTCATTTTGCCACATTGCAAATTTACAGTTTTCAAGATATACTTGAAAACTGTATATCAGTGAATATATAAGTGAAATTCTTAATAAGGTTTACTTGAGCTGGAACTTGGGTCAGGGGGAAATGTCTCTACCATGCCTCAGGTTTGTCGGTTTCTCACCCCATTCATGGGAGGAGAGCTGTGCCCTTCATGCAGTTGGGGTACTCCAACCTCTGTTCCTCTATCTCTGCTGCAGATCTGGCATCACCTGCTTTTCCTCTGCTCCAAAACATGCATTCTCACCTGCTTGGAGGGGCTTGATTTTGAGTTAAGATGCGGCGCCATATGCACGGTGATTCCTTGTTTGGGCCGAAACGCAAGAACTCACACCTCTTGCAGTGGTATCTACAACAAAGTGCTATCTTTCTTTCTTCTTTAAAAAAGACATTACATTTTTTATTAGATTTTTCTGTAGTACGCTTGACAAAAAGAAGAAATAACTGCCAACAATTGAAAAAAAGACTATATACTATTCATAACATGGAGATAACAAGTTGAACAGAAATGAGGGAAAGCTTTTGATTCTATGCTGAGAAATAAAAATGAAAGAAGAAGCACTTCCAACCAGACTCACTCAGATTAGCAGAGAGAGGGAGTAATGTCCAGGCTTACGGGCAGGGCTCTCTTGATTAGAAAGGGGTTAGTGTTCACAGTGTAGGGGAGCAGCCGCATTCAGTAACACTAATGATTCCTTCTGCCAAAACCAACATCTAGCGAAGACTAACACAGAGCAGCAGCAGCAGCAGCAGCAGCAGGAGCTGCAGGCAGATATAAAGATTATATTAGAAATATGTTGACTTTATGAAGTACGTCTAAGTTCACTTGAGTCTGTAGAGGAAGGGTTTTGAACTAAACTGGGAGAAACTATAAAGATTTTGAAGGAGCTTCCTTCACCTTTAATGTGAAATATATCTTTTACAATTTGACTCTAAACTAGTCAAAGCTGTTTAGAGCAAAATGTATATTTAATTCTCTAGCTACTTGAAAATACATTGCTTATAGTAAGTATCTGTACATGTGAACTAACAGGCTTTCTATTAACAAACTGTAAAAAAAAAAACCTGACATGTAATGGATCAAAAGTGAAAAATCAGTCAGTTTGATCTGACTTTGCACACTGGTCTCATTAGTGACACCAATGAGGCCACCTGACATGACAGCTGACTTCCGTTGAGTCACGCCATTTCCGTACGTATGCAACTGAGGTTTTCAAGAATATCTGTCACTTCCAACATTTTAGTCTTGCATCAGACAAACAAATATTTATTGAAATAAGTGACAAAAACCCCACAAATATTTTATATATTTAGCGTTTGTTTTTTCAGTCTCCCAGCAGGTGTCAGAATAAGGTTGTTTTTTTTTCTAAGAATACTTTTATTACAACATTCTTGGTAAATGCGTGGGTTCTTGGTAGGCAAAGGCTATTTTGGAGATATGTTGATGTGCAGCAGGACAAGAAAATACTGGATGCGAGTACATGCTTGAGGTCAGTATTTTTGCTTTTGTGGTGTTAGAGATGAGTGAGGTTATTGCCCACATACCAAAAACAGACACAGCTGCTAAAGACTGAGAGATCATTTCTTACTTCAAAACTTTCCACATCACATTTTCAGGTAAAACATCTAGAAGGTATGAAAAGTAGATACATCCCAACCAGATTCTCCATTGTTTTCAAAATGGATAGGAAACGAACCTTTTTGACACAAATGCACATGTTTGAGTCACATCTTCCAAAACAAGAAGCACTTCCATATATGTACAATGTTAGTGTGTGAATGTGTGAAAAGCTCTTTGGAGTCCTATGAAGTTGATAAATAGTTATACAAGTACAAGTCATTTACCATTTTATGAACGATATACAGTCCGAAGCAACACGTGTATCTCACAGTAATCACAGATTACTTTCTCATAATTAATAAATAAATACATAAATAAATAAATACATAAATAAATAGTATGTCAGATTGATGTGTGGCTGCTTACTGCTTAACACCGAAACTGCTGCAAAGATGGATTATGTAAGAACCATAATGTTTAGCTGACAAAATGCAAATGCTGTCTTTGCCTTGATTTTTGCAACTGTGTTCAGAAAGTCTCAGTGTAGAAAAAAAAAGCATAAGTAAACATAATGGTATAAAACTTAAAGTGCACAACTATGATTTTTTTTTTGCTCTTTTCAGGTTTGACATGCCTCAGACTTGGACACTCCACACCAAAGATGCCGCTGCAACTGCTAAAAAACATGTCCAACCGCAGCTGTGCTCTCTTTGGGACATGGGCCCATACCTCCTCTGGTTTCCAAACAACCTCCATACCCACAAGTCCTAATATCAACATTTGCAGGGGATGATGTTTTACCTTCCAGTGTGTTTACCAAATGCTATCTTCAACAGATCAATCATTATGTGGGTGTAAGCTATGTATAAGCTCAGTAACCCTGAGGTGCAAGAAAGGTTTTATATGTGGTAGAACGTATCAAAACAGAAATGTGCAAAAATACAGGTCTTATGCAAACTTTAAATATGCATTGAACTTAAGATATGATGCTCTGTATCATGCTACATGTCAGAATATTTGAGGTTGAGGTTTTACAAAACCTCTGAATTTTCAATGCATTTTAGTGTATTGCACTTATCTTTATATGATCTATTACCCAATACTGTGTGTACTCTGAGAAATAAGCCTTTTCACATCAGTTACATTTTTGATTTTTTGTAACATAACAGTAATAAGACAAAGTGAGCCATGAACGTCTCACAGTGTAGCTATATTCACTTTCTCGAGTCCATTGGAAAGTCATTTTTAAGTGTAATGTGATCATAAGTCACATCCACCAAAAACTCATCAAAAATTTGTTTTGCTCAAGCTTTTGAAGGCGAATGTTAGAAAACAACACCATAATGTTTATCTTAACAGTTGCTTCACTAATTACTTTTTAACTTTCACATTCAACTGCAACAACAGCCTGTGGTGTTGTTTCAGAAATCCTTTCAAGATGCTCCACAGGGTCATCTAAATTTAAGATATGTAGTTTTAACTCACTTCAAGTACTCAAAGCTTTTCCTGTCATAGTTCAAACACGGTCACAGCTGAACCTACATAAAGGTAGAAAGTTTGAAACAATCACAACAGGATGTGCTTCCTTTTACTTTAGTTTGTTTGAGATACAGGATGTTTTATCTCAGTAGAAGTTTAATCGTCTGAGTACCAGCAAGTAAGCTCTAAAAAACATATTTTTAAAGCTTTGATCTTGGCAAAAATAGTTAAACAAAGATGAATAAAAGCAGCTGCGTTTATTAATCTAATGTCCAAATTGCAAAGTGTAGTTACAATAAATCCAACACTAATTCTTCAGTGTTGGATTTACATGTAATCCATATAGATTTACTTCTATGTTTTCTGTATTTAAAGCAATGTGTGCATTCATGTTTGCTATTATTTTCACATTCTGATGTTTTTTCTAGTTTCAGGTGATTTGACAGGACCTGCTGTGTGTGATGATCTTGTGAGTAATGACTTTCCTCAGTTCCTTTCTAGGTTTGACCACTGGCTCATGTCATGCATGTTTGTCTGCTATGTGCCAAATGTCTCATGACAAATGTATTATAAATTCAAGAACACATTAAAATAGATTAGTCTCTCAAAGTCTAGTGTGTGAAACATATCAAAATGAACACAATAAAAAGAGTATATAAAACCTAAAAAGTTTTACTGGAACAAATTCCCTGCTTCCCAGTCAAAATCAATGTGCAGCACTATGAAGGGCTACACAGAGGAGATGTTGTGGCGCAATAACTCAACTCATGAGCTGCAGCTGAAGCGCCGCAGTCCCGCTGCGCTCTGTGGACCCTCGGGGTGATTCTTTTACGCCATGCTCAGAGACGTTATCAGAGGCCGGGGAGTCTGCTCTGTCTCTCCGCTCAGGTCTGCCAGCCCCGTAAAACGGCAGGAATAGTAGGAACGTGTTTGTGACTGCCGTGGAGCAAAGTGGGGAACAGTGTATGGGATTGTGGCTTTGGGGCCCCAACAGCCACCCGGAGAACCAACTTTCCCCTAGCAGGTATTTTGTGAGTGGAGGTCTTTTTCTGTAGATTCTCTGTCTGACACGGATACACCCAAGAAGGAAACATTTCTAATGCAATTTGTGAAGATTGGACCGGATTTTTTTTAGCATGACCTTGAAGGAGCGTAGGTGGAACAAAATGTTTAAAGTCTTAACTTCTAAAGGCAATAAAACATCTTTTACATGGAAAAGAGCAAAAATGTTGAAATGTCCACGTTGCTTAATTGTGTATAACTCCAAACATATGATGTAAAGTCTGAATGAACACCTGGATACAGCAGCAATACCTCTATGTGTGTTGTGTGATTTTTTTTGAGGCAGGGGGGCCTCATATTTTCTCAGTGGGCCAGCCAGGCAAATGGGCGGGGTTGATTGGTCCTCTAGGAAAAGTGAAATGCTTTCATTTATGCTGGCACAGTTTGGAGAGCCAGTGAGGATGAAGGTGTATTTTTGTCTTTAGGACCGTTATGAATTGCTCAACCCCAACTCAAGTGTAACAAGAGACGATTTCAGCATCTAATGAGAGGATATTTTCTTACAGCAAAAATGATTTACTGACGACATACAAAATATCAGCAAGCTTTCTTTAATTTAAACCATGGCGACAACAACCCTGACTGGTTTCTCAGTGATGAGCCTGCTGAGCCTTGGCTACCTGAGCTGGGATCTGATGAGCCCCAATCAGGTGGAAAACGAGCCTGACCAAACTTTCAGTGACCGGTCTCCGGTCCAGCAACCTCCTCATATAATCTTTATCATGACAGATGACCAGGGCTTCAACGACATTGGCTATCACAGCTCTGACATTAGGACACCCGTACTGGACAAACTGGCTGCAGATGGTGTGAAGCTGGAGAATTATTATGTTCAGCCCATCTGCACACCCTCCCGAAGTCAACTCATCACCGGCAGGTAGTGTTTTATCTATTAGTTCTTTAATTTTTATTCACCTGAAGCAAACAGAGATATTTATCTTATATGTAAACATCTGGCACATGTTTCTATTTACTTTCAGATGTCATTCTAAAAAATAAAATGGTTCAAATTGATATTTAGTTATGTCCACTGAGCAAAGAGATCTTCTCACAACAATAAATTATTGATATCTGTGCAGTAGTTGATTAATCTTTCAAAAAAACTATTAAGTTTTCTTTTCTTAAAATGCTAAAATAGCAGCTGTGTTTGTAATATACCCTAAATGTACCATTTCTGAGGAGCTTTTCATATGGTCTTTCTCTGCTAAGGGAAGCAATGATTATGTCAATATATCAGCACAGATATGTTTCCATTCTGCTATTTATAGTAGGGTAAATATTTGTTTCATTGTTTTAGTGTAGATTTAACACTGCATCTTAAGGATTTTGTCAGTTGTTTAGGGTTGTAAACAGATCCAATTGGTTTGATCTTTGTAAAAATATGCAAAATGCAAAAAAAAAAAAAACAAAAACAAGGAAAAGCAGGAACCTTTTCATACGTTTTCTTGAAGTGAAAAGATAAAATGAGTCCAGTAGCTTTGTGAAGTGACAGTGCAATGCCTAATTGCTTCTGTATCATTTGTGATTCAGGGTTAAACCTATCAGAATGTTTCATGAGAATGTGGAGCGTCATGTATTTACCTCTTTCAGGCCCTCAAAAGAAAACCATGTCAAAAATGAAAGTTAATTATTTTTTTGTTTTTGATTACTTAATGTTCACTCCCTCAGTTGCTGTGGTGCAAACAAAGCATCTACTGCACCTACCGGAAAGCAAAACGTGCAGAGCATGTTTCTTACACCTTATCTTTCGTACACCTTATCTGTATGTGAGCTGCCAGTTCTTATAACTCTCTCCCTAAGAACTTCTTGGCCTGAACTTTGTTACCTTTTTCATCTCGATGTACCAACGTAAAATGGTCGAGGTTGGAATCTGGGAGCTCTGAACTCCATTTTCTATCTCCTTGTGTCTCTATCAGTATGCAGTGTTTTGAGTCTCTTTGACATTGATAACAAACTTCTTCCTTTCTGATTACCTTCTTATTGTCTATCTCTACAGGTACCAAATTCATACTGGCCTTCAGCACTCCATCATCCGTCCACGCCAGCCCAACTGCCTGCCCTTCGACCAGGTCACCCTCCCTCAGAGACTGCAGCAGCTCGGCTACTCAACCCACATGGTTGGCAAGTGGCACCTGGGCTTCTACAAGAAGGAGTGCTTGCCCACTCGACGAGGCTTTGACACATATTTGGGCTCTCTGACGGGCAGCATGAACTACTACACGTATGAGTCCTGTGACGGCCCCAGTCTTTGTGGTTTTGATCTCCATGAGGGCGAGTTGGTTGCCTGGAGACACAGGGGTAAATACTCCACGCATCTGTACACTCAGAGAGTTCGCAAGATCCTAGCGGCCCATGATCCTCTGTCCCAACCACTCTTCATCTTCCTGTCCTTCCAAGCTGTTCACACACCTCTGCAGTGTCCTCAGGAGTACATCCACCCGTATAAGGAGCTGCAGAACGTTGCACGTAGGAAGTACGCCGCAATGGTCTCCATTGTAGATGAAGCTGTTCGCAACATAACGTATGCTCTCCGCAAGTATGGATACTATCAAAACAGCGTCCTGATTTTCTCCACTGATAATGGTGGCCAGCCTTTGTCTGGGGGCAGCAATTGGCCACTTCGAGGACGTAAAGGCACTTACTGGGAGGGTGGTGTCCGAGGTTTAGGGTTTGTCCATAGCCCTCTCCTGAGGAAGAAAAGGAGGGTTAGTAAAGCACTGGTACATATTACTGACTGGTATCCCACACTGGTCGGGTTGGCAGGTGGCAATGAGTCCCTTACTGAGGGGGTTGATGGGCACAATGTCTGGGCAGCCATCAGTGAAGGAAAAGAGTCTCCCAGATTTGAGATACTCCACAATATCGACCCTTTATACAACTATGCACGCACCGGCTCCCTGCAGAAAGGATTTGGGATTTGGAATACCGCGGTTCAGGCCTCCATACGAGCAGGAGACTGGAAACTTCTGACCGGAGACCCTGGCTATGGAGATTGGATCCCACCTCCTATTCTTCCAGGTTTTCCCAGGGAATATTGGAGCCTGGAGAGACACATTAAACCTCGCAAATCTGTGTGGCTCTTTAATGTTTCCGGAGATCCCTATGAACGTTTTGACCTGTCTGAACAGAGGCCAGATGTTGTGAAGGAGCTCTTAGCCAGACTGGTGTACTACAACAGGACGGCGGTACCCGTAAGGTACCCTTCAGAGGACCCAGAGGCAGACCCCCAACTAAACGGTGGAGCCTGGGGTCCCTGGATGGGAGATGAAGAGGAGGAGAACTGGGCTACTGTTTACAAGAAAGAAAACACGGAATGGAAAAGGAAGTTTAAGATGCTCAAAAGCAGGTCATTTTTTAGAAGACTCAACACAAGGATGATGTCTAACAAAATATAGAAGCAAAAAACTGAAATAAAAACTGAAAATATAACTGAAATTATAAAAGATAGAATAAAGTAGGTCGAGATCAAGACATTTTAAATGTGGATTCACAATAAGAGAGAAGATACTGCTGCAGTGGACCAGATCCTCTGATCCAGTTAAATACATTTGGGTTTAAACATAAACCTAAAATATGCACTTAATCATAAGAGACTAAGACTTTGAACTGAGGTATGACATTTTTATAAAAAAATGTTTAATGCATATTTATTAAAACTGTCACCATGTGCTGACAGAATGAAAGAAACAAGGTCTTCCACCTCCTCCTAGGGCTATTATTTCCACTCTTATTCAGAAACAACCAATCAGGGCAAGTAGAAGTGTCTTAGTGCTGTCAGTCAACCTGTAAGCGCTACTTATTAATGTGCTAATGGCGTCAACGTCATCGGTGGCCATGCTAAGGGCATGAGCATTTGTGGCATGCTCTGCTGATGGGGAGGAGCTGTCACATAGCAGAGAGACAGGGGGAGACTGTGAGCAGCACATACACAAGCATGATTTTCAGTGCTAAGACTCTCTTCCTGGCTGTGATTGGTTGTTTCTGACTGAGTGGTGTATTTCTGTAGTTATCACTGGAAGCTTTGGGAGAAGGCAGAGGAGCTTGATTTTTTTTCACATATTATCTTTCTCATATGATGACATACGACATAACAAATATGTGAAAAACTTTTTTTTTAAAATAATATGTACATTCCCCAGCTTCAAGTCAGTGTTTCAGTGAGCCAAAATGTAAAGAAGGAACTATGTGCAATATGATTTTTATTATATGTAAGAGAGTTCTGCTACAGTCTCCACATAGTGCCAGTTATCTTTTTTAAAACAACCTGAACAGCTCTTTGTCCATATTGTGCCTAAATGACAATGTGGACATTTAGGCACATTGTAACATCTTATTATGTGGATGTTACCAATGGAAACAGTTTCTGTATGTAATCATCAGAAACATTAAATTCTCATTTGAGAAAACAATTGTTTAAATTGGCTTAGACATTGGAAGGAAACCTTTCATTTCAATATCAGTATTTTTAATATTAAAACCTTATTCCAGTCAAAAAAGGTTTTTTTTTTTTTTTTTTTTTTTTTTTTTTTAAGAAAAGACAGCAAACATATTGGCCAGCGATGGGTTTGAGGAGTTTTGTTGTACCAATTTGCTTTTTATATCTTTTTAAAAATATTTAACCACTTATTCAATTTTCCTGAACCTCAAATGGCTGCGAACTGAAAAGCTTATAAGTTTATGAATCAGCCGTTTTTTTCCCTTAGTGGCAGATTTGAGGTATACAAAAAAGTACTATTTTTGAGGTAATGGTAAATTTTAACCAGTTCTTCTTATTTTAGTAACACAATACATCTAAGTGGCAAAAATGTTAAAGATATGGGAAACTAAACTTTTTCAATTAAATAATGCTTAGTTTATTTGTTATTTTAACTCAATATGACCTCTAACCTAGCTGAATAATAATAATAATAATAATAATAATAATAATAATAATAATAATTCCCCACCATATATAATACAGAGAGATGTTCATTATTCAGCAGTCTGATGACTTGAATTTTAGGATTTAGTTCCTGCTTTCCTTCATTTTAATGTTCATTGACGTGAACTCAATGAAAGTAAAGCTTATTAGACACATGTTTCAGGTGTTGCGAAAAAAAAATGTATTAGTGGCTTTTGTTTTAAGTTTTGTCAGAGAGTCTTCTCTCTCTTTCTGGTGTGCTCCTGCAGGAGAACTGACTTCTGCCAGTTTTAGATTTAAAATAAATAGTTTTTTAATGTGCTCTGTGTCTGGCTCAATTTTTGGTTCCTTTGTCTGGTTCCTTACAGTTTCACTGTGAAATACCACTTTGAAATAAGAAAATATCTACATCTTTGAGTGATTTTTGTGTTTTTCTGTGCATGAGTGGTGGGAGGGTTCACTGCTTACCTATATGAATACAGGATTAAGGCAGAGCAACCTGCTGAAGTTCATATGTGGGGCAGATGTGTTTTATTAATGGTTGCCATTTGGAATCTCTAAATAGCCACTTTAGAAAACTCCTGGACGTACTCAGAAAGAACCCACTCCAAAATAGTAATTTTTGTGCTAACGTAAACAAATTAGAACTCGTAGTGGGTAAGATTGCATCTACTGCCTCAGCTGAAGCGTTCAGACCCTAATATGAGTTCATATCTGTAGCCATTCATGTACAGTTAAACACAAGCAAAGAAAATCTACATGAGAAAAATAAAATTAGATTTCTGCATTAACTACAAAATAGTTACAGTTGCGAGAAGTTTGATTGCTCAGATTCAACATTCGGAGAGACCAAGCTTCTGCTTATTCTCCACAGGGCTGAAAATGTTGAACAGGCCATGTTTTTTGCTGCAGCTTCCTATATTGAAGTTACAGCACGTGATGAAGCACAGCAGACTAACCTCAAACCTGCAAGAGTGCTTCCACTGATCTCCATATACTGGAGTCTCACTTCCATTATTTTTTAGGATTTAATGCACATGAAATGAAAATCCTAGTTGGTTTGGCATTTAGTGGCTGAAACATTTTGTGAACTCATGGTCACGCTATGTTTGGATTGATTTATATACAGTAGAGATCTCCTGACAACAGCTTAAAGCCAAGCAGAATTGAAAACAAAGTTACTTCCTTTGTTGGACATATAAAAATGCTCCTGGGTATCTGTTTGTACCTGTCTGTCCTTCAGCACTAGCAAACAGCACCGGGTCATCTCATATGTGCTGCTGTGTTTATCTTGATTTTTCTATTTCTTTGTATTTCTGACTAGCAGTATGGAAAAAACTTGTCTTCTTCTGATGTTAGTTGGAGGAACTTATGGTAAGATCATCATTATCACACTGACGAATTAACTTTGAGAATGAGTCATTTTTGTCTTTATCTGTGTATTTTTTTCAGCACTAGCCACAGTTTCTAAGACAAACTGTGATGCCACCCAGATCATAGCCCCCTGCAGTCCTGTTTCTGGAGGAACTGTGTACATCAAACTGATGAACAACGTCACCGGCTACGTACTGGTGCTTCTCAAGGATGAAAACCTGGTGTTTACTGTGATGGAGGGGAAGGTAGAAATACAACAGGAATACAGAGCGAGGACAGAATTTTTCATCCACACGGGGACGATGAAGATCGCTGACGTGGAGGAGGACGATGCAGGCCAGTACACTCTAAATGTCTACACTCCGATGAAAACCCTTGTGAAAACTTTTAGTTTCACACTTCAGATAAAAGGTGAATATAACAACACTCTTCTTTCTTTTCTTTTCTTTTTTTCCCCCATCATATTCAGTTTCTTATGTCCTGTTTCCTTGTTGCTGAAGTTCAAAATGTAATTATTATGTGCAAGTAAGAGGAGAGATGATGCAATGACAACCTTTGAACCTGCAACTCTTTGATGAAAGCTTGAAAACATTACTTGCCACTAATGGTGGATACTTTACGGCATCTAATTACCTAATTTGTGTTCTCTTCAGAAAACAAAGTTTCCTTTGGGACCACCATGACTGCTTCAGGGTTTGTTCTACTTGTGATTATAGTTTGCATTGTGGTTTGGATGTGTAAGCCCTGCAAAAGGACAGGTAATTCTTTCACTATCTGCTTCTGATTAAAAAAAACCCCTCATAAATAAGGATTTAGTTAGTTTTCTATTATTAAATGTAGAATGATGTGTTAAGTCTTATGTCTTAGTAATTAGTTGTTGTGTGTGTTTTTTTTATTTATTTATCCAGGTTATGTCATTGTTACCTGAAAGTAAAGATCTTCACAGAGAGTTTGGACTGGCAAACTGAATTTGGAAAAACCCTTTGCAGTGGATTCAGACAAATTAGTAGCAAACACATTTTTTTTCCTTTTAGGTAAGCTAATTTCAAATTTTTACTATCATAATTTTATTATTATCTAGTGTTTTTCTTTTACCTTAATATCAATTTGATTTTACATCAGTAATAAAAATGCTTTTTTTGTGTGTGTAAAACTTTGTACATAAGCTGCTTCTTCTGAAACAAAGATATTTTGCATATCATAATGTTTTTGCTATTAAGTAGATTTTAAATTTACTTGTTATACAGCTTACTGTCTGAGATAAAAGAGGTTTTTGTAAACAGTTTGTAAAGTTATATGTTTGGCTGCACTTCTGAATACGAATAAATAAAATCATAAAACAATCTCCAGTGAATTGAATAAAACATAACATTGTACTTGTTGATCCATAACAGAAAAGGAGTTGTCTTATTTTCTATTGTTAAAAATATGGACCTCTGTCAGGAATATGCTTAAGATTTTTCTTTTTTTGAAAACTAAGCAAAATAGCAACATTAAAAGTTGATTTCATGAATTTAGATAACTTAGTGAACAAAAATAAAGCTGTTTGAGTTGCAAAAATAACTTTCTTTGTTTTAAACAATGAGATCTGTTGGCTGTAATTTTTTCTTAGAAATAAATGCATTTGTCAATTTTTTTTGTCAATTGTTTTAATGTTTCTAAAGCAAAATCTAAAGTAATTCAGTCTAATACGTTTGCACAGCCTTGCAGATGACAGTAGGAGCTTATTTGATGCCACAAGATGATGAGATGGCAAACGAGCAAGATCAAAATAATAGATTAAAAAAACAGAACCAATCATAGCGATGATGAATAAAAAAGGTAGACTGAATCAAGGTAATATATGTTGAACTCATATATTACCTCAGACATGTCAAGCAGGAAGTGAATTTTACTGGTACAAAGAAAAACAGGCATACATTTCCCAGCGGTGGTCCTTATGTGTTGCATTCAGGTAAAACTAGTACATTGGAATGTCTATACATCAAAACAGCTCTAGAGTAAAAGGCTTTATTTGCACGTCAAACAGTATCACACAACACTGACCAGTGGTTTTGCTGCCATAAAATCAGATCTAAATCAAATCTTTGTATCCACTGTTTATGCTTATCTTTAATTAATGGACAAAATAAAAACAAACCTCCAGTCGGTTCCACTTTTACCGTTCTTTGAAATTCTTGAGCTGATGAAACCAAATTATGGTCCGAATATTTTCACCTGTTGTGTGAATATTTTCACTTGTTGTAGTTTACGGCCTGAACTTGGATTCATTGAAAGGAGAACAGAGACCGTAGACTTCATTTCCTTCCTTCATATGCCTGCCATAGTATCAAATTAGGTGGATCTTTTGAGTTTCACAAACTTTCTGTGAGATTACTGCCTGAAGCTTGTCTGCAGTTTCTTAGATATTTTAGAGGTCACACCAGATAACAAAGGAGTATGGAGCAATTTCTTCTTCTTCTTGTGTTGGCTGGAGAAACTCACGGTAAGATCCTGATCTTATTCAGACAAATAGGATAGCGTTGTAATGTTGTTACCATATAACTCACGTTTTATTTAAATGTTTCCAGCATTATTTCAGGTTGCTGCTGAAACAGAATGTAATTTCACTCAGGCTGCGTCCCCATGCTTCCCTACAGTCGGAGGATCAGCCTACATCATTCTATTGAGAAACGCAACTGGATATCAGCTACGCTGTTACAAAT